GCCCTTGGGTGCCTCCTATCCGGGAATCTCTGGGAATAAATTCTGGCCGCCAGCAAAAGGGTTCCGCTCACTTGAACCCAGTACATAAACCATGTCAATCATTTCATTTAATGTAAAATTGGTTACTTTGACGTTTGTTGTCAGAATTTATTGTTTGTCATGGCACTCTTATGATAATCGATGAAATTGTGTTCATTTCTTAAAAAATGTGAATTATCTTCTGAACTATGAACTTTTGGAAAAAAATATAACAGATGAAAAATATGTGAAATGACAAGCTTATTACGAACAAGTGATAAAATATTGGGGGTGCTATTCGAAAAAATCAAGATATCACCCTTTAAAGTTTACCAAGATCAATGTGTCACACCGAGATGACGACGCAATGAAAATAGACGGCTCCTCCGCCAAAAGGTACATAAGGCAGTTGCCTACGCATAGACAAAGTTACAACTCGATATTTCAAAAACCAAGTGTCCTGCGATTTTTCAAAGAAGAAGTAGTCCTAACAAAGGGCAAATTCAAAAATGTGTAAAAATATATAGGGTGTCATTTAAAAAAACTATGTTAAAATTTGCCACGCAAAAATGGTACACCCTATAAAGGACAAAATAATTTTACAAACTGCACTTCGACCTCCCATTTGCAGTGCCGTTTGATTAATTTCGATAGCACTAACGGTGTAGGTGCAATCGAGCTTTCCCATATCAATGACTCACCCTGTATAATTGCATCATTTATTTTTCAAGGGCGTTTGTACGTATTTGACAAATTTAAGTGAAAAGTTTCGAGGAACCCAAATGTGCCCAAATCTGCAATGCCAAATTAGGGCTAACCAAAAATTCAACAATACAGGGTGGTCCGGTTTGTAATACGGAAAATTCAACAGTGTTGTACTCGTTGAAATAATTTAAAAAGTTCATACATCAACATATACTTCTCAACGGGTCATTTACGAGATATGAGTGTTGAAAATACGAGTCTGAATATTGTTTTTTGAAGAAAAGTTCGAAACGGTTTGAGATGAATCAACAAAATTTCTCACAGCACAGATAACAGATACTAAATTTTTACGCTCTATAAGATCAAATATAATCATTTGGTGAAACAGAAAATCACCCCAATTTATATACAGTGTGACCCATTTAAGATGGAAGCACCCTTATAAAACTTACATTTTTCAACCGATTGGAATGCTTTTTTTTTGTTAGGTAGATATTCAAAAAGTCTATTAGGACACCAAATATCATGAATAAATCTCCATTTCCAGGGCCAACTAATCTGATTTTTCAAGGTCAAAAATCTAAAAAAATTACTAGCGATTTTTTTAGAAAAAATCTGACTACACCACTGGATTTGTGACATTTTCAAATGGGTAACATGTAAATTACGTTGAAATGCGTCAATCAATAAAAAAGTTATAAAGGAATGAAATTTGAAAAATATGCCGTTTAATCAACCCACCAATTCATGTTCAGGAATTTTATGAAAATTCTGTATACTCCACTGGATTCAGGATGTCTTGAAATATTACTGATCACAGTTTCATCGAAATCTGTTCAGTAATAAAAATTGATGGGTTGATTAAACGGCATATTTTTCAAATTTCATTCCTTTATAACTTTTTTATTGATTGACGCATTTCAACGTAATTTACATGTTACCCATTTGAAAATGTCACAAATCCAGTGGTGTAGTCAGATTTTTTCTAAAAAAATCGCTAGTAATTTTTTTAGATTTTTGACCTTGAAAAATCAGATTAGTTGGCCCTGGAAATAGAGATTTATTCATGATATTTGGTGTCCTAATAGACTCTTTGAATATCTACCTAACAAAAAAAAAATCATTCCAATCGGTTGAAAAATGTAAGTTTTATAAGGGTGCTTCCATCTTAAATGGGTCACACTGTATGTGCAATAATGTGCATTTCTTCGTCAATTTGTACTTCGAAATCTGAAAATACATAGGTCTCTGTGTGAAAATTTCGTTCGTGAGTTTTTGATGCATTTCGCCGTTTCTCTCAGTTATTATAAGAGAGACTAGGTCGGTTAAATTAGGGCAAAGTTGCGCATATTCATGCTGAACATTTATCTGCAAGAAAATTTGATGTGTTATTTTTAGTTTTTGAATCATTGGAAGAAAACGAAAATTTATTATTTTCGTTTTTATTTTTTCAAGCGGAAACCAAAAGACCTAGACGTTTCTGACTGGGGCATTCTTGAGGCACATTTTTACAAGGAATCTGAATCTGTCATTGTATTTTTCATAACGTTCTTGATGCCAACAAACAACTTTGTTTTTTCTTAAATGCGCCATATTGGATTTTTGCATTTTTGAAAAGTTTTTTTTTTTATTATAATGATGATATGATCGAATCTTTCCTGTTGATCAAAATTGGGAAAAAAACATTTTTTCTACTCACATAACTAAAAGGGCATTTATCGTACGGATATGTACCACGCTAAATGATCGATTAATCACGGATTGACGATCTGTGATTTATTCAAAATATTAAACACGTTACCATGGCAACACGATTTCTTAAACACATTCACCATGGCAACACAGTTCATTAACCACAGCTTCAGTAATTTGAGACATGTCTGGCTTGTCAAGTATTAACTGTCAAATGTCATTTTCGAATTTTGTATCATATTTATTCAAACAATTTTCGTTTGTATCAGAATTTTCCATTGATAATATATGTGAAATGTATAATAAGAAAGTGAATTCCAAGAGAATGTTTTGGTACTTGCGTACCTCCAAGAAGTGTAAAAATGTAGCATCCATCTTTGAGAACAATTCATTTATTCTGCGCTAAGCATGGCATTAAACGTGAAACAAAGGTTAGTAAACAATGGACTGGACACATCTACAACCAATATCACTTATACGTGTCTCGCTGGTTGCATGCATCAGTTGCATCTATTATATGTTCTCAATTTCCATTCCTTTCGAATTATTTTGTAGGTTAGCTGGAAGAGTAGGTATGTTAATGAAATTTCAGGAGTTCGTAGAAAAAGCATGGTATGTGACGCGTTTATAAACTCTTCTAGACACTCGTTTATTAAACACTCGCTCCGCTCGTGCTTAAAATACTCGTTACTAAAAGGACGTTTATAACACTTGTTACATAATATACCTACTATTTGCGAAGAGTGCTTCGGAAAAAACGCCAACAGTTTTGTTTAACAAGCTGAATTTCGACAGTTTATTTGAATTTGGATCTGGAACGCTCACATTTTCGTCAAGCTCATCTACTTGAAAACTATGGTTTTGAATCAGGAACGACGTTATAAAAGATGCTCGAATATAATATAGGTACTCCACCTTCCACGTCTAAACACAATTCTACGCGTTTCCTCAGATTCTGAATTGATGTCTCGCGAGATGTTCCGTCTTTTTATCGTAGTCCTGAAATTAGTGATTATAGTTCTTCTCAGCTCATCAATATCGATCGGTACAGTTTTGATGGTAAAACTGCATTTTGCATGCAATGGTTTTTTTTTTCGAAATTTTTTTTTGGTACTTACGTATTTTTGTCTGAAAAACACGAATTTGATAATGAAAATGTGAACAAACCATTATTTATTAAGATATTTCACTATAACGTTACATATTTCACCTTCTTTTCCGCCTGTCTTATTCTGGATTTCATTTAAAACAATTTACCCTTGTTTTTTCATCATTGGACAATTCATATATATCACAATGTAAGACACATTTTTTTCTATTATTGAGTCAACTAGAAATATGATTTTCTTGTGATTTATCCATATTCAGTGAAAAGAAGGAAGAATATCTTTTAAAATAATGGCGTGTGTAATGTCATTCAAAAAAACTCTGTTGACATTTGACATCTCGTATTTGGATTGACATTGACTATTAAGGCTATATTCCGAATTCAACCGGTCAGTACTGTCAGTAGATCCACTGACTCTGCTGAAAAGCTGTGTTCCGAAATATAAAATCAAAAATACAGTGCTGTAATTCGGAACACGGTTTCATCAGTAATCAGCAGCAGTTGATCAGCTGGGGAAATTTGTCAGTTGTCATTGATCTGGCAGATGCTCCTGCTTGAGCTAAATAAATAACAGGCATTTTCTGATATCATTATGATGCAATTTCAGCAGAATGTTGAGTCGAAATATTTGGAATGAATAGTATATCTGCTCACGAGTATCTGTCACTTTCAGTCCATTTTTTTCGATTTCGGAATGAAAATTCAGCAGATTCAGTACTGTCAGTTGAATTCGGAATATAGCCTAATTAAATGGCCGCCACGTATGCTTGTTCACTAAATATGAAAAACTCGCCTTTCCTGTTGAATTTTCTGTATAAAAATGTGTAATCGAAGTACATCAGGAGTATATAAAGTGTCCAATGACAAAATAAGAAGAGCAAGTACCTGTAAATGCATCCAGCACAAGGGGAAAAAGGATTCGCAATTTCGAACTTTTTTTTGAAATATCTCGATAAATATTGGTGAAATTCGTTTGAAAATCAAATCTTTCATAGTTCCCAATAAATAATAATCCAGCGGAGAGAGATCAGGTGACCGCGCTGGCCAACGTATGTCTCCGTTGTTGGAAATTACCTTGTCAGGGAACATATCTGACATAGACACTCGGCAACCCTTCTTGCGTTATGTGGATAAGCTGTCAAAATTCAGTTTGTTAGACAAAACTGTTGGCGATTCTTCCAAAGCACTCTTCGCAAAAATGGTTTTTCCCAATTTTGATCAACAGGAAAGATTCGATCATATCGTGTGATACATCATTGCAATCAGAATAAAATACTTTTCAAAAATGCAAAAACCCAATATGGCGCCCATGAGGTAAAAAAATGCCCAAAGAATGTCCTAGTCAGAAACGTCTAGGTCTTTTGGTATTCGATTGAAAAAATGAAAACGAAAATTACAAATTTGAATTCTAATACACTGGGTCCAGATAGTAGGTTAAGTTTGTGCAATCAACCACCAAAAACTTGTTTTTTTTTAGGCCTTCGATGCTAAGCAAAATGCACTTCATACAAACCTTCCTGCATATGGTCCAAATGGTGGTATCATACTTCCTGATGTTGATTTTCATGACGTACAACACTTGGCTGTGCCTGGCGGTCGTTTTTGGGGCAGGTGTGGGATACTTTTTGTTCGGATGGAAAAAGTCCGTAGTGGTGGACGTGACAGAACATTGTCATTGACATTAAAAGTCAGGACAAATACTTAGTTAGCATTAGAACAGTAAGATAAACTTGATAAACGATTGTAATATAGGATTTATTGGATTTCGTGGTGTCAACATAACGTACAGGGTGATTTTTTTCACTGAAATCAGCAACAGGTGGCTGCCCCTTTACGCCATATAGAAAATCAGATTTTCAAAATTTGATCACTCCAAAGCTTAGCGTGGTGTAGTTTTTATCTCAGTAGTATATCCCTACTGCTTCGGTGTCGCGTCAATTGGACGTGGAAAATTGGACGCACGACTATTGGTTGCAGTCAATTGGACGCGGCGACAATTGGACGCGGCGACAATTGGACGCGGCGACAATTAGACGCGGCGACAATTCGACGCGGCGACAATTCGACGCGGCGACAATTGGACGCATGCGTAAATAAAAATAATTTTATAATTCCAATGAAATTCATTGTATAAAATATGAAATACTGATGGGCTTATATCCATAATTATAACAAATACCTGACAGGTTAGGTTAGGTTAGGTATTTGTTATATTATAGATATGAGCCCTGCATATTCCATGCAATAAATTTTATTGGAATTATAAAATTATTTTTATTTTCGCATGCGCTCAATTGTCGCCGCGTCCAATTTTCGTCGCGTCCAATTATCCGCGTCCAATTTTCGTGCGTCCAATTGTCGGTAATCCACTGCTTCAGAGCCTGAATCACTTGAAGATCTCACCAAATTTTATTCATCAGACGATCACATTTGAAACAAAGGAAACTGGATACAATTATCAGGCTCTCTAGGAAAAAAATCAGTATTCTCTATCCATACCTGTATTATTATAGTATATTTATTTAAATAAAAAAAAAACAAGTCTTACCAAATATTCCAAATCAATCTCAGGTAAAAACACCATGAAGAATTACAAGATATGATTTCTGACAAGTAGGCGGGTCTTAATTGTCTTCGCGTGTTATCATAGCCTGCTTTAAAGAGGAAAGCCGCGGTGAAGGCAGTCTGGCAACACTGTTCGAAAGGTCTTTCTCCGGCCCGGAGTGAATTTGTCTAGCTGTCAAGAGTCAATTGATGTGTTATCGATGTGAAATATTGTTGAAAGCCAGTGAAAAGTGTGAGGAATATTCTAGTAATCGAGTTTTGAGTGAAAGGGTGTTTATGTTTTTGTGTGAAAGTACAACCCAAAATAGTTATGGAATTGAGGTTATGTTTCATTTTGTTTTTTTTTTTTATGGAAGCAGAGTAAGTAATTTCAACGTCTCTTTAGGCAAGATGCCGGATAATTATTGTTGTGTAACGTGGTATGAGTCAAATTACGCTTCGGTATAAGAGTATAAAATAGCTTTTATCATTTTCAAGTCTTGAAAGCATTTAAATATCGATCACTTGAAACAAGTTCTTATACTACAGTTATTATGTTGTACACCACTTCTCATTATGTGTATAAACATTGAGAATACTTTCATTCAAGCTAACAAACGTGCAACAACTATCTTCAAAACTGCTCAACACATGAAACGTAAAATCGCATTTTTTCGATCAAACTTGAATCATCATAACTTTTGATTTTTCTCAACCGAATTTCAATTATTTTTCAGTTTCTGAAAGCTCGTTTCATTGACTATCGAACCTATGGATATGACTATTTCATCTTTTCCGAATGAGATTCTACAGGATGATAATGAAAGCTGTGCATTTTTCCCAAAATTTCAAACGCCTCCCGTTTGAAAGAAAAATGTTTCTTTTTTTCTTGGGGGTCAAAAACATATTGCTTCATATGTTTCCTCGATACTGTAAAAAAAATTCAGGAATTGTCATACGCGTTACTGAAATATGAACGTTTTATTAAGATAATGCATAATTTGATGTTCTAATTTCTATTAGCGTTGTGTTCCTGTCAATCTGCTTCAAAAAATGGTCAAAAATCTTGAAATGATGCATGATCAACCTATTCCAATATACAGGGTGGTCCTCAAACAACAATTATGACATCAAGTTATAAAAAAAAAATTGTTCTGACGAGCAACAAAATTACATAGCAGAAAACCGATTGAGAAGTTGCTATAGAATCTATTGCTGATCTAGCACTCTCGTGAATTTTGATACTTTCCATGTTCACTTCAATGTTAAATTCGATTAAAGGTGAGAGTGATGTGATTTGAACTGGTGTTATTGATGAAAAGTCATGGAACTGGAACATTGTGACTGTGATGGAGTTCAATATGAAAAATTCATGTTTTTTCTGAGTCAGGACATTACATATCCATGTGACTCACGTCTGCCATTCTTTTGAATTTCGACAAATATTCAATATAAGTGTTTTGTAAAGACGTTCACCGCAAATGAAATCACATCCTGTTACTCGTTGATCTACTGCAATTGTGATGAATAATGTCAGTTGCATGGTATGTCTCGGCAGCAACTTTTCTTATTCAGACGATATCCTGTATATTTCTTCGGTCTATCTCATTTGCCTTGATATCTTCTAAAAATCTATCACAAAGTGAGAACGACGCTCTGAAAATCCGGTTTTTCTAACAATTCCAGTGGTTTGATCTTGTAATAGATTCTGTAGCAACATGACATGGTGATGACAACATCTCCTACACGCTTTGATCGCCAGAAAACTTCTCAATCGGTTTCCTGCTTCGGAATTTTCTTGCTCGTCAAAACACGATTTTTTTTATCACTTGATGCCATAATTGTTGTTTTGAGGAACACCCTGTATATAAGAATAGGTTGAACATGCATCATTTCAAGATTTTCTACCACCGTTCGAACCAGATTGACAGGAACACCAGGCCAATAGAAATTAAAGCATCAAATTATGCATTATCTTAATAAAACATACTTCAGTAACGCGTATGACAATTCCAAAATTTTTTTCACAATATCGAGAAAACATATGAAGCAATATGTTTTTGACCCGAAAAAAAATAGAAAAAAATTTCCTTTCAAACGGGAGGCGTTTGAAATTATTGGAAAAATGCACAGCTTTGATTATCATCCTGTACAATCTCATCCGGAAAATATGAGATAGTCATATCCATAGGTTCGATAGTCAATGAAACGAGCTTTCAGAAACTGAAAAATAATTGAAAATCGGTTGAGGAAATCGAAAGTTATGATGATTCAAATTTGATCAAAAAAATCCTATTTTACGTTTCATATGTTGAGCAGTTTACTTGAATATTTCTCCAAACTATAACCTTCATCTTCATAATAATAATTACTTGTCCAACATATCTGCTGTTTATCTGTTCATCAGAACCTCGTCGGCAACAAATACCTATAAGATCCTACCTCGCAATTTGTGACCTTGAAATGGGAGTAGCCGTGGTCGCCAGTAGAGAATAGACCTTCCGGATCACGGCGATGCAGTGTTGCATTTGTCTCACCGCGGCTTGTTATAGGGTGGGCGGGGCATAGAGGACACCACGTGACGTCATGCGCGTGAAAGATGATTTCGAGACTGTGGTATCTTGTGATTCTTTTGTTTCTATTAGTGTATTAGTTTGAGATTCATAACAAGAAGACGAGAAACGATAAACTTAGCCTGTAAATGATTCAAAAACTGCCGAGACTTGCCAGGATGTTTGTTTATCCTGTAAATCTAGGGGGCTGATGAAAGACTGCATATTTTGAGAAATTACTTACGGACTTTGCTGCTGAATTGTTTCTTCTTTTTTTGAATCTGTTCCACTGGTAATAAAGAAGTTACATACTTGTCAGCCATTTTTTATGTAACATTCTGCTATGTCTCAATTTTATCATTTTTTTCAATTTGAAATGTAATAACTTATATATATTGTTATCAATTTATACTATGAATATTGAACGAAGATTTTATTCGCAGGTAATATTGTTGGTTGAATAGTGTGCTTGATTTCTTTTTCAAGTGTGGGGGAGTTGAAAATATATTTTTAATGCAAAAATGTGTATTTTCTTCATAAACTTATCCCTCCTCTTTTTTCTCTCAATTTTCATGTATCTTCTCGCGAATTCATCCAAATTCAAACCTTCATTATGTTATTGACGTATTTTAACCTTAAAAATATGAAAAATATCGTCTTGAATGGATACACAATGAACTTGACACGAAAAAACTTGAAATAGTATTTAATTCATAGAACATATACAAAAAAAAATTAACATTCGACTCGAATTTCATAGTAAATATTATGCACCAAGGCAAACGCAAAAAGAAAATCCAAAATTCTTAATGGAAAACTACATGTTTAGCGACAGGATCAATTCAATGATTGATCTTGTGAGACTTGAAGAAATGCTGATCCCCTTCGGATACGAAACGTTTGCGACCACGTGACGGCAAATTTTTCAACACGTTCTCCGTGAGGAAGCCTAAATTATGGCAACGTTCGACAAACCTGAAATCGATAGATCAATAAAAAACTCATTTATTTTAATCAGTTGAAAGCAAGCATTATTGGAAATCGCCAACTTTCAAATTCGTAGGTTAAACGGAAAGTGAGTGACATATGCCCGGTTACCGCTGACATGACAGTTGACAGCAAACTGACATATGACAGCGTACAAGACATGAGACATCTGACAGCAGAACGAGGCCTGATGCTTTATTACTTTCGATCATATATCTACTATTTCTATATATGGCGTATCGCCTATACGATATCTCAACAAAAATGGGACCAAAATGAGAGGTACTTTTTGAATCTATAAGGATGGAAACTGCTGTGAGGATCATATTTTAAGTTAGGTTAGGTTCGGTTCGTGAATAATTATTTGATCTCAACTTCGATTTATTCCTTTATAATGTGGTTAAAATATAGCAAAGCATAATGTCAGTAACTTTGAGGAACAGGAAAGAGCCATTGCAGATGATAATGAAATGAGCTACGATAATGATTTCATTCCGTTCGGTGGAATCTGGAAACACACCCTTTAATCCAACATTATTAACCTAGGTATATGTATTTTTTTTCAATGTGGTGAAAGTGATCTACTAAAATCTGTTTAGCGTGATAGGCCTACACTACACTACTTGTCATTTACTGATTCAAACTTGATTTACTTTAATTAAATTCCCATTATATGATGCTCCATTGTCAAACTAATGTTGAACCAATCATTACCTACTAACAAAGCTTTGGATTTTATCAAATTCAATCATGTTTTTCTATCCATAGGTAAAATAGCCTTTATTAGTACCGTACCACCTATGCATCAGATGAGATATTATCGAAAGCTTTCTCCTAAATCCTAACTTCAGTTCTATGATTTTCGGTTTCAGATCTACCAACTTATTTTGCAAGCCCAAGCCTGTCTATTTTTTGCTCCGCAAATACTGCATGTCTATGAAAAACAAACGAAAACACAAACACTAAAGAATTGTACAACGCAAAACGTAAATATTCGAATTTCAATCACATACGCGTTAGAACCAATTTAAAAATTTGAAATTCGTAGCCATATTGGTTTATCAAGTTTCGTATTATTTTTTCCCTACGTCGGCATCAACGCCTATTGGTCGATTTCGTTACCTATAGAGACAGAAGTTGCTCCTGCTTTGAGGACAGCTATGCTTCATATATAGAGTAGTAGATATATGCTTTCAATAAATCTTATGTGAGTAAGATATGTGTAATATGAAAGTGTAGAAGCGCCACATGATATATATTTTTTATAATTGCCAGATACTAAGTATTTCATCAAGAATAATTCCATACCCGAAGTTTTGGGGACAGTAAATTGTGTTTTAGAGATATTAATTAAAAGTGTTTATAATGATATTCTGGGCAAGTGTGGACACTTGATTAGACTATCTTCGTTCTATATTTCCCACTATGATGAGCAATTATTGCCTACTGTTTCTAAAATGAGAATGAGTATAGTATAGTTTATGCAGCGAGTTGGAAAAAGACATCACCGCAAGCCGTCGGTCCCTTTGAAAGTTCAAAGAGTGCGGCAGCGCGGCCTGACATTCGTTTGATGATCTGTTCAACTGACTTTGCGTAAACTATATCTAATAAATTTGTCTGTTTCTACTGTCTATGTATCTTTTTTTCTACACCATATGCACTTCCTTTGAAAAGTTGATAAAACTATATACAAAGTTGGAAAGCATTATTTGAAACGTGTCCAGGACGGTTTTGTTGAAACGTGTCCGAACGGTTGTCTTGAAACGTGTCTGAGACGATTTTTTTCCATGAAACTTCACTGAGGTAGAACATTTACATTATCTGGTATGTTTCTGAATCTTCAGAGAGACTTAAGTGGAAAAGTTCCAGATATCGGTAAGACATTTCTGATAATGAAATTTGTTTAGTGGGTAGCCTACTGGACAGATACCTACTAAGTGATAACCAGCCTAGGCTAGTTAACACTTATTATCTGTCAATTAGGCAAGTTTACACTTATTTATCTGTCAATTAGGCTAGTAAACAATCAGGATTCGTCAATTAGGCTGAACCAAAATACTAGTAGTTCCCTCTAGGTGAATTTGGTAGTACAGGTCCTACACCTCAATAGAGAGTTGAAGTAATCACTGTAGACCTCCACGTAGACGTTAAGGTACGAAAAATAACGTTTACGTATTGTCGTTAAATTGAGTTGAAGTCGTCACTGTCATCATAACGTAATAATACATTTTGTTTTCGGTTTGTATTGGTCAATTTTGGTTGTGTGTTTAGATTCGAACATTTATTCCTGTCAAAATGAGAGGACTCCTTGATGCAGAACTCATTGGTGATCTCGAATTTGATAATTTTGACTCATCGGCATATTTCGAGTATAGTTTGGTTCGTACGTTGATATTTAAGGTATACGTGAAGGAACGTGAGATAACGTACACCCGTAAGCCCACTAACAACGCAAACGTGAAGAATTGGAAAATGCGCATGCGTAGCTGTCAATTTCTACGTTTACGTTAACGTTCATGACAACACTTCAACTCTCTAATATCATTATGATACACCTCAATATCATTATGATCGGTAATTATTTGCGGTCAGCAGTCGCGAACTCTTCCCTGTTTTGGGCCTCAATCTATTTATTAATAGGTGGCGTACTCGACCAAATTTGGAAATATTATTTATCATTGTTTCGACATCTAGACACCTGTGGCGGGCGCGAGAGTCTTGAGTAGAAGAAGGCAAGATTTTCCGGCGTTGAATGTTATTCGAGTAGTAAGATAAAAGTATACTGAAAAAAATAATAGCCTTTGAATAGTGACTGGCCTTTTGTGTTAAAACCGAGAGTGTCAACGTCAGTTCTGGTATTAGGTAAGTCATCGACGATTTAGTTGATATCAATCGATGGTTGAGACCTCGCAAGTCCGGCTTGTGTGTTAAAATGGCATTCATAGTGCCACCAGTTGGAAATGTATTTTGTTAATTGTTATTTCGACGACTAGTATACAGTGTCATTCATAAAGTCGGCATCATATGGGAAAAACTTTTGTTAATGACTTATTTTGAAATTCGAGTTGGACGTTAAGTTTTGCTTCAAACAAGATGAAAAATGGCCTACTCAATCGGGGTCACGTGACTTTCGCTACATGTCAAAAGTGACATTTTTTCAAATTAATCGCTGAAAGTAGGCTTATTTGTTCGAATATCGAAAAATTTCACTTGAAGAAGTTGTTTCCATTTAAATTTTACATATGTGACTCGGATTTTATCTTCCTATCACATTTTTTAGATTTCAATATTTTTTAAAAATTTTCGAAATTTCTGTAATATTAAAAAAATTGTGAATTCGATGAAACTACTTCATACCAGTAGCTTTATCATGCTACTTACTTTCAATTACTAATTATCAGTAATTATCGACAAAAATATGATTTTCTTCAGAAAATGATGATCTCCGCTTCAAAATTCTGTTATGTTTGATGCAAACATAACATCAAAATTCTGTTATGTTTGAGTCAAGCATTAGAAACGAAATTCATTTAAATTCATTTTTTCAGTACTGAAAATATCAGTTTAAATGAATTTCGTTTCTAAATGCTTGACGATATATCAATTTTGCATCAAACTTAACAGAATTTGGAAGCGGGTATTATCATTTTCTGAAGAAAATCATATTTCTGTCCATAATCAGTGATAATGAGTAATTGAAAGTAAATAGCATGAAAAAGCTACTGGTATGAAGTTGTTTCGTGGAATTAACAATTCTTCAAATATTACAGAAATTTCGAAAAATTTAAAAAAAAATCAAAATCAAAAAGTTGCAATAGAAAGATCAAAATCGAGAAGCATGTGTAAAATTTAAATAGAAACAACTTTTTCAATTAAACTTTTTCGATATTCGAACAAATAAGCCTACTTTCAGCGATTAATTTGAAAAATGTCACTTTTGACATGTAGCGAAAGTCACGTTACCCCGATTGAGTAGGCCGTTTTGCATCTTTTTTGAAGCAAAACTCAACGTCCAACCCGAATTCCAAAATAAGTCATTAATAAAAAGTTTTCCCATATGATGCCGACTTTATGAATGACACTGGCTAGTTGACATAGTATCTGTCAACTATAAAAAAACAATCATATGGCGCTTCTATGCTTTCCTAGTATAAAAATAATATATAAAGGAAACCAAATACAAGAGGTGAAATATATCAGCATGAAATGGAAATATTTCAATGAAAATAATACCTGTCAAGTATTATGTAGGCCAAAGGAACGTCCATGGAGATGTCTGGTAGGTCGTCGAACACCCTCAAGAAGCCTCGTTCCAATTGGTCGGGCGTAATGAGAATGGCGTCGGAAAAGGACTTCAACAGGTTGCAGAGGGACTCTTGAAGGACATAATTATCTGTTATTAGTACGGCATTCCTTTTTTTAATATTCTGGTGCCAAACAAAAACATTCATGACGTCTAATGTGACAATGTGACGTAATATCCGATCACATTCATCAAATCATTAACAAAAAAAAATTCCCAAATGTGTCGTTTATGAAGCCTGTAGAAAATCCATTTGCTTTAAAGGTGTTCAAATATACAGTGTGTCCCACTTACCATGCTCACCATGGGTATCTTTTTAACGGTGAGAGATACGAGGTCGGTTAAATGACACCAAATGTGGAGTTTGTCAAGGCCAACTATGATTTTGATAAAATCTATTCGTTTTGTTTTATACGCAAAAAACAGATTTTGATCATTTTCATGTCTCCTCCGTAACTTCTTTATTTATGAAAATATTCAAATAGGAATTTCACATTCTCATAGCAGTTTTTCAAAGTGATTTCGAAAGAAATATGAAATTTATACCAACTTTTCTAGAATTTGAGATATCAGCACCAACTTTAGTTTTTCGAATGTAGGTCATAGCTCACTATGACTTAGTTACAAATAACTTTTTTTTCTCTTTCAAATGATATATAGCAGTAATAGTTTTGTGTTGATAACAACGGAGTTATTGTCATTTATACAAAAACAAAGAGTTATTTGGAAGCCCCCATCTTGAATTTATAAATTTTAATAAAAAAATCATGATCTCCGACCTCAAAAACCCCCACTCACCAATTTTGAATTAAATCGGACCAAATCTTGTCCGCCATCTTGGAGCAGCCATTTTTTTTTAATTTCAACAAAAATTCAATAACTCCGATTAACTTGAAATTTGGTAGTTGTTCATAATTTCGGTGACAATACATTATGGAATTTTTGTTGAAATTAAAAAAAATGGCTGTTCCAAGATGGCGGACAAGATTTGGTCCGATTCAATTCAAAATTGGTGAGTGGGGGTTTTTGAGGTCGGAGATCATGATTTTTTTGTTAAAATCTATGAATTCAAGATGGCGGCTTCCAAATAATTTTTTGTTTCTGTATAAATGACGATATCTCCGTTGTTATCAACACAAAACTATTACTGCGACATATAATTTGTAAGAGAAAAAAAAGTTATTTGTAACTAGGTCATAGTTAACTATGACCTACATTTGAAAAACTGAAGTTGGTGCTGATATCTCAAATTCTAGAAGAGTTGGTGTAAATTTTATATTTTTTTCAAAATCACCTTGAAAAACTGCCATGAGGATGTGAAATTCCTATTTGAATATTTTCATAAATAAAGAAGTTACGGAGGTGACATGAAAATGATCAAAATATGTTTTTTGCGTATAAAACAAAAACGAATAGATTTTATCAAAATATTTGTTCACATTATAGTTGGCCTTGACAAACTTCACATTTGGTGTCATTTAACCGAGCTCGTATCTCTCACCGCTAAAAAGATACCCATGGTGAGCATGGTAAGTGGGACACACTGTATTTTCATGAATCTGTATATAAATTGTGTGTGAATTTCTTGTTGTCATGTCATTTTTTATGATCGTGAATGATTCAATAAATATTATTATTATTATTCTCATTATATTTTTCTCAGTAACGCGCAAATGTGTACATGTGCTACTTTTCAATGCCATCTGGAACAACCAATTACCTTCTTTGAGTCCACTGTTGGCCTCCATGGCCATCACCACGGCCTCGTAGACGAGCTCGTGGTGGAAATGGGGCACCTCGAGCAGCCTCAAGCACCGGCTGGCCTCCTCCAAATCGCCGGAAGACAGGAACTCTTGCAGAAGCAGGGACATTTGCCGGGTGAGGGCTTTGACTGGCCTCAAAGCACCACCTTGAAGAAGCCGTCGCTTTGAGGTTATGCACCGCGAATCATTCATAAATCAATGGAAAGTATACGCCATCAATCCTCCAAGCCAATAATAGTTAAATGAATGAGATCACGAATGGTGCGGATAATAACAGACTCTTGACATTCACGGGGGAGTTCTCAGATTGAATAACAATACTAGACGGATAAATGAATGAAATCGCGAATGGTGGGGATAACTGAAAGATAAGTATTCTTGCAGCAGCAGGACAATTGCCAGGTGAGGACTTTGACGGGCCTCAGAGCGCCACCTTGAAGAAGCCGTCGCTTTGAGGTTATGCACCGCGAATCATTCATAAATCAATGGAAAGTATACGCCATCAATCCTCCAAGCCAATAATAGTTAAGTGAATGAGATCGCGAATGGTGCGGATAATAACAGACTCTTGTACATTCACGGGCGAGTTCTCAGATTGAATAACAATACTAGACGGATAAATAAATGAATGAAATCGCGAATGGTGGGGATAACTGAAAGATAAGTATTCTTGCAGCAGCAGGAACATTTGCCAGGTGAGGACTTTGACGGGCCTCAGAGCGCCACCTTGAAGAAGCCGTCGCTTTGAGGTTATGCACCGCGAATCATTCATAAATCAATGGAAAGTATACGCCATCAATCCTCCAAGCCAATAATAGTTAAGTGAATGAGATCGCGAATGGTGCGGATAATAACAGACTCTTGTACATTCACGGGTGAGTACTCAGATTGAATAACAATACTAGACGGATAAATAAATGAATGAAATCGCGAATGGTGGGGATAACTGAAAGATAAGTATTCTTGCAGCAGCAGGAACATTTACCGGGTGAGGACTTTGACGGGCCTCAGAGCGCCACCTTGAAGAAGCCGTCGCTTTGAGGTTATGCGCCGCGAATCATTCATAAATCAATGGAAAGTATACGCCATCAATCCTCCAAGCCAATAATAGTTAAATGAATGAGATCGCGAATGGTGCGGATAATAACAGACTCTTGTACATTCACGGGTGAGTTCTCAGATTGAATAACAATACTAGACGGATAAATGAATGAAATCGCGAATGGTGGCGATAACTGAAAGACAAGTATTCTTGCAGCAGCAGGAACATTTGCCGGGTGAGGACTTTGACGGGCCTCAAGGCAAGGCTAACCTTCGTAATACTAAGTGGGTAATTTTGTACCCCAAATTGATATTTTTTCGTGGTTAACGGCGATAATTTTTGTCGCGTGTCGATATCCGATAATCCTCTGAAATATGCTCTTTCTATGTATTTATGAAAAAAAAACATGCCATTCAGTATTTTCAGACGTTCAAAGTAGATGGGGACCAAAAATACCCCAGTTAGTAATGTACGTACTCGGTGGAAATCTGTAACAGACAAGTTGATTCCTGTCTTTTCTTGAGTTCAGATTTGTAGGATCTCTTTCGCTCACATTGATTTGGACTCTCATAGTGTGAATACCAATCTGTTTGGTTATTTGTGAGTTAGCGTGACCATATGGTTACAGTCGATCCTGAGTTATGTAGTCGTCCAGTAGTTCCAGCAGGTGAAAGGACAACCGTAACAAATGTGAAATTTGCGGACAGTTTGTTTGTGTAGAACACAGCCAGAATGAAATGATATGTAACACATGTAATAATTGATATCTCAAAATATTAATTTTTCAAGTTGATTTTTATAGTTTGTATTAGTTTTATACTGCATACTCTATAAAACTTATTGATATATTTGGACAAAATTTTTTAGTTGTGTATATTTCGAGTGCAAATCATATAATATAATTAAATATCGTACATATGTATGAGAACAAGGTGGGGTACATAAATATCCCAGTTAGTAATGTAGGGGTATTAGAATTACTCAGTATTACGAAGGTTAAAAAGACGCCGGTTTGGTGTTATGCACCGCGATTCATCCATAAATCATTGAAAAGTATACGCCAACAATCCTCAAAGCCAATAACTGTTAAATGAATGAAATCGCGAATGGTGGGAATAACAACAGACTCTTGTACATTGGCAGGGGCCTCCTTTACTACAAATGGAAAGTTATTATTTAAATAAACGAATGAAAGTTGAATAAACGAATGAATTAGTCATTTTGAAAGAGAGCGTAAAAAAATCATATTATCTGCTTCCATGTAGAGAAGAGCCAGATAATTCATTTTTTCTTGAGACAATGAAGACCTTTGATAATTTTTCACGCGTTTTAAACAGGAAAAACTCCTTTCCCCAGAACAATTTGTAGCCGGAGTGGAAAGTGCAATGCGGAGAGCTATATCCATGTTAGGGTAAACATTAGAGAGAGACTGATTCCTCAAAAACGTTGAGAGTCAGAGGAAATGTGACTCTTATAATGCACACATTCTTGAATCAAATCATTCCTCTAAATCATCGGTATAATATTTCACAAGAGACTGGGCTTTTTCTGTAACTCTTTGTGTTGAAAGTTCAGTCATTTTTGTTAAAAATGAACAATTTTCTTCAAAGTTTAAGTAAGCATTATGCCTTTTCTGTATTTCAGCTCTCAGTCTATCAAGGATGACCAAAAAGGTAATCTTTGGAGCCGGAGGGTATTTCAGGTTCTTCATTTGTTGTTTTATCGGTCATTTTTTTTTCTTTTAGGTTGTCTCTTTATTTCACTTTGATATTGCTCAAGTGTGCTCATCTCAATTGTTTTTCCTACGGAATAGTCAAAGTTTTCTCGTTCTGCTATTGTAAACTCTATTAAATAGAGATCCATAGAGATTAGATACCGTCAATACATCTACAGATGAGCTCTGAATCTGAACCTTTAGAGAACCAGTGGACGTGTTTAACTTTTATCCTCTCAAAATCAAGTGACCGTACGCAATAATCCTAAATGCCGAACTCCAATCAATGAATTAAATCGCGAATGGTGGGGATAATAATAGACACTTGTACATTTGCGGGTGATGGCTCAGTCTAAATAACAATAGACACCGCGATTCATTCATAAATTATTAAAAAGTATACGCCAACAATTATGAACAACAAACACGGATAAATGAAACACAGATGAATTAATAAAGCGGCGGGTGAGGGTTTTGACGGACATCAAGAAGACGTCGGTTTGAGGATATTATTATGCTTTCATCAACAGTTTGTCCTTGAAAGAATAGAGTGGAAATCTTCCAAAGGATTCCCATTAGGTGGTATGTTGGGATTCCTGCTCTTGGAAGATGTTTTTTTGCAATAAAATTGTGGTGGAGGCTCAGTTGGTTCAGCTAGTTCTACTCTGGTTCACTAATAGCCTTGAATATTTATCCCTAACAAGATGATCTACCTCCATGTAAAATGTTAAACCTAAATTTGGTCTATACTCTCGGTATCTGCCTACAAGTTGCTGAACTATCTAGGTATATCCTTCTTTCTGAAGCAGGAAAATCCTTGGGAAAATCACTAACTTTGACATTCTGGATGCTTTTCAATAATAATAGTTATTTTCCGTCAAGTGCGCAAAGTGTTACTTTTCTGCACGCAAATACAGTTAGGCGAACGACGCGGAGCGGAGTTCGAATACGTTTTTGCGTGCGGAAAAGACACTTTGCGCACGTGATAGGAACAACGTTTTTCTTATGAGCTTCATATCAGATAAAAAGGAAGATAAAAAACAATTATAACTTATTGAAAAATGTAACTATACAACAATCACATATAACAATAAAAAATAATAATGAAAAATCACATTTTCCCTACGAGCTTCATATCAGATAACTAAAATAAAAAAATCTCAACTTAAATTACAATTCATTGAATAATTTTTAGTTAAACTTTATAGAAATAGCTAAACAACAAACAATTACATATCAATAAAATATAATGATAAGAAATTAAACTATTTGTTCCAAATATTCATATTGAGATGAAATACAAATATTGGGAAGAACGGTTAAAAAGTTAAAAGTGATAACGGCTTCTTATAGTGCATACAATAGTCTACAGCAACTAAAATGAATATAAATGTTCCATACCAGTGAGATTTTTGGATAGTTTTACTCATCTGCACGCCGTGCGGAAAACACCTATATCCGCACCGAGTGCGGAAAAGTATTACTTTGCGCACGCAAATGAGTGCGGAGAAGTACTACTTTGCGCACGCTCGTAGGAAAACAATATTTAAATCTGGCCCAAAAGCAGTTAGATATGAAACAAACAATTCTGTAAGAAATTTGAGTTTGTTTTGATGTTTGTTGATAGAGAATAAAAATCGAGGGTTCAGGAGCTTTCACAATTTTTTCTAATGAAGCCAAAAATAAAATGACAGAATGTGAAATCATGAATTTGCTACCAAATTTGAATAAATCATAATTACAACTACAGTGGCGCACCCATAAATTTTTATGATCCAATCAAAAGTTTAAAAAATTTGTATTTTCGAAAATTGAAATTGCGACTGCAGGGGCGTACCAATTTTTTTCTGTAGCAGTCAAAAATAAAAAAAATAATCTTTTTCCAAGATCCCTATGCTTCTTATAGTGCATACAATAGTCTACAGCAACTAAAATGGATATAAATGTTCCATACCAGTGAGATTTTTGGGTAGTTTTATTTATCCGCATGGCCTGCAGATAACACCCATATCCGCACTGAGTGCGGAAAAGTACTATTTTGCGCACGCTCGTAGGAAAAAATATTTCTATCTGGACCAAGGGCAGTTAAATATGAAAGAAAAAATTTTGTGAGAAATTTGAGTTTGTTGATAGAGAATAAAAATCAAAGGTTCAGGAGCTTTCCAAATTTTTTCTTATGAAGCCAAAAATAAAATGACAGAATGTGAAATCATGAATTTGCTACCAAATTTAAATAAACTTCATTGAGTCTTGAAAAAAATCATAATTACAACAGTGGCGCACCTATTTATTTTTATGATAGAATCAGGATTAAAAAAAAATGGATTTTCGAAAATTGAAATTGCGACTCCAGGGGCGTACCAATTTTTTTCTGTAGGGTTAAAAATAAAAAAAAAAACTTTTTCCAAGATCCCCATCATAATTTTGATATTTTCACAAAGTTTCCTGACATTTGTTGATGAAGATTAAAAATTTCCATTCCAGGGGCTCACATTATAATTTTATCTAAAGGTCAAGAATAAAAAAAACAACTTACCAACTCCCCATACATTATCTAAACGGACCAGCCCATGTTTCATGGACAGCAAAGTGTCAGCTCTGATAAGAGCTTCCTGAAAGTCTTTATTATCACTTTTCTCCTTCGTTGCTACAATAAACTTGGGAGGAATGCAGTCATCAGCAATAGCTCTGGCAATAAAATTCCCCAAAACAGTAGGAGCATCTGGAATATCCAGAATCAAATCATTCAAGTTAGCCAGAAGGCTCTCGAATGCTTTGCTGATATCAGACTCTGTCACTGTGTGTGGAAACAGATCAGAAATCAGCACTGAGGTCATTTCCCTGTGAGAAGGTTTATGATCCATGGCAATTTCAATGAGTTGTTCCACCAGAGCATCCCTTCTGTTCACTGGGATCTGCTCTTCTATGGAAAGAATTGCTTCATGTGTGTCCCCATTCTCAAAATACTCAAGGACAAAAGGTTCAACCTATGACAATCAAGAATCAGCACTAAATTCACCAAATATCTGCACTACTCCTACCTTCTTTTTGATTTCCTCATCAGATATTTCAGGTACAACAGCTTTGAGCTCTATATCTCCATTATTCATGTTCTCACTGTCAAAATTAGGATCGTTAACATCCTCATAGGCTTCAAGGAGTTCTGATCCAGGCAGGCCCCAGACTCCCTTGCCTCCAGCTCCACCTTTCTTGGGCAGGCCTCTGCCGTGGCCGTGCCTGGATCTGCGGCTGTTTTTCCAGGATCTGGGGCCCTGGACAAAACCAGCAGCAATTACATTTTCCTTGGAATTCTGCCTGTTTATTTTTTTCGGGCGACGTTTGGTTTGGCTGTCTTCAGCTGTGGCGTTTTCTTTGGCGGCTAGTTCAGCGACAACTTTGTCGATCTCTTCAGTGGATTCGACGTGAACGTCGCCTCTGTCTGAAGCCATATTTGAGAAAATGTACCAAACCCCCAGATGTTTAGGTATAGATACCTTCAACTAGCTTGATCTATTTTAAAGATATCACCTACAAATATGAAATTTAAATGAGGGTTTATAACAGTTCAAACAATTCAAGCATGCTTGTTTATTATTATTTGATATCAATCTGTAGACTAGACTGTGTATTAGGTGTGAAAAAGAAAAAATAAGCTTTCAGTTTCGTTTTCTTCAAATTTTTACTACACGTCACCACAACAACTACGAACTACGTGACTGCCTAAACCAGGCGGTAGATATCATAATATAAACACTGGCATAAACAACATAAAAATAACCCAAAACCCCCGTATTCCCCGTATCTTATGCCATGCCTTCAAAATACTTTCAACGCGAATCCGAAAAAATTCTCCCAAACAGATATAAATCTACATTACTTGGCGAGCAGCTGTGGAAATAATGTGAATAAACTAGTAAACAAATAACCAGCTGGTCAGTAAAGACAGCAATTTATTATCATCTAGAATTCATAGTTTCATAGCATTGGGAAATATGATGGTTCTTACCAGTAAAACTGCTAAGAGTTAACAGTAATCTAGCGAAAGGGTATCAAAGGAAATTGGAAAAAGTAATTTCAATTGAAAGCACGCAATTCTTTGTCCAACACGCCACAACACCGTTTAATCAACGTAAACACCACGCTACGTCGCTCAGTCGCAACCACGCTTCGTAATCGTAAACAATTTCAGAATTTTGCCTCCACGTAATCCACACAGTGTTGTCTCTTTTCCTAATATGCACCAAAAATAGAATAGTGAGGGGCAAAGGGGGACCACAACAAGGAGCAGAAAACCAAGGAGAAAAGGAAAGGGAGCTTTTCCGTTTTGTTGTGGTTTTGTCTAACCTCTGCACAAGGTGATTTAATTCCGAACAAAGGAAATAGAAGAGCGCATGCGCAAAATCATGTGGCATGATTTTTATATTTACATATATGTGGCACGACTGTAGGTACTGGGCACAGAACAACAGTGATAACCACTGAACTATTTACCCGCACCACACCACCGTATCGCTAAATTGAATAACATGTACGGTGTACCAGAGAGTTACGTTAGTTTTCGGGGAACTGCATGCATCGGAATATCGGAACAGCTGAGATGTTTACTTCATAAGAACAATTTAATAACAGATATTCTGCGATCCAGCAGCCAACATACTTTCTATGGTACTGTCACGAGTCACGAGTAGTTCAGTGCAGATACGGTGCATGTTTGGTGATTTCGTGTGATTTCATGTTATCATGTTAGTCCTGTTCGTTTGTGCTTGCTCTAACTCCTGAACTTGTTTTTGTTCTATGACTTCCTCTGTTTAAATTATGCCATGAACAACATGAAGAGACAACTTTGGGAAAACAATCAACTTTAGCAAGTTCAGCAATAGGCTTGTTCGTTTGTATTGCTGAACTTGACTTTTTTCCCATAGTTGTCTCTGTTCATGGCATGATGTAAATAGGGAAAGTCATAGAACAAAAATCAAGTTCAGCAGGTACAGCCAGCACAAACGAACAGGCCTGTTACATGTTTCAGACAATTTCAGATCCATATCAGATCAGTTGGACAGTTGGTCACTTGGTCAGGTACAGTTATGATCATTGATCAGGTGATATGTTAGATGTAGTTTTTTACGTGAGCCAAGAAATGAAATTATTGTAGAATTTTGCGCTCAAAAGCAGTGAAAAATATTTGAGTTGACTATAAGTGAGAGTGCTTACTCAAAATATCAAACTGTGATACGTCGGAGACAAAGAAAAATTCGCCCCATATGGTAAAGCTGAATGTTCTTTGTGTTTGATCTGCCAGTTATCGTCGTCCATTTTGTGAAATCGAATTGCGTCGCACACAAATTTCCCATATTGGATGTTTTTCATCGCAAAATTCCACGTCTTGGCTGTGATATATATCAGGTAACAGCGCATTAAATATCGAATTTCGATTGAAAGACTCCGTCGAGCGTTTCGACAATTTGCTCACAATATGTCACAGAAGCACCCACAGGGCTCTCGCGCGGCGCGACACTGTTCAAAAGTGTCCGCTCGCCAGGAGCAAAGGAGTTCCCCACACCGAATTGAATCTTCCCTGCCAAGACTGAATCCAGCGATGGGGCTGTCCCACTCGCCTCAGGGTCACTTAAGGTCTAGTCCCCGTTCTGTGCCGGGCTTGGTGGCAGGCCACTATGCCGGATGCAAATTCTCAGAGCCTCCTCTGCCTTCGGCTCTGCCTCTGCCTCCCAAACACTGGATGCAGACTAGTCGCTCTATAAGGTTGCCATTTCATTCAATTGCTACTGTGATTGATCACAGGGATGTTACACAGCAGCTGAAGATGCTGCTGAAGGTACAGGCTTGACCTGTCAGTCAGCACCCAGCAAATTGCAGATACAAGAGATCTTTATATTTACTGTTATGGTAGGAGTGATCAAGATATTGAGAATATGTGATTAATTTTAGGAGTTGAAGAGCGAGTGAACACGACAATATGACAATTGCTTAATCTGGAGCTTCATAATATTTATGAAGGTCTAGTTTCAAATTGGGGGGGTAGGCATCACACAGAATCATTGTGGAGTATTTATTTGGTTGATAAATTCAAAATTTTCTGGTGAGTAAATAGTCCTAATTGTTAAGTGAGGAGAAAAATTGTTAATGCTAGGTTTTAAAAGATGATTGAAACTGTGCTTCAACAGCCTTATTGAGAAACTGGGATATTTCAGATTGTCTTCACTAGACAGATGACTTCACAAAAAAAATTCATAAAATGCAGAAAAATTGAAGTTATATTTATTAGTTTATTATAGATGATGTACATTTTATCTCTGTTTGGCTTACTAAATGTTCACAAATTCAAGAATTAATTCTCTGAACATTTTGCTACTTTTTTCAACTCACCATATACTAACAGTTGCTTGAAGTCATGGAAGTAAAACAAGGAAATGAGTGTTACTTCTAACATTGTTAGCAAAATGACAGGAATTCTGGAGTATATTGTAAAATGAGGATTGCACAGTCCACCTATCAAATTTTTAGCTTTTCCTACTTATTTGGATGAAACATTTTGCCTTGATATACTAGAACATTCAGTAAACTAAACTGGGATAATTATAAAAAACTGAGGATATCCTTATTATGATGATATAGTTGTTGAAGTTGCTTAAAATTTTGGCATATCATTCCTCTTGAAGTTTACCATCAGTTCATTTTGTGAAAATTCAAAATATCAATTGAAAATCATCAATATCAGTTTGAAATGCAACAAAACAAATTAGCCATATGTTTTGGGTTGAACATAAATTTCTTATCATTTTAATCATGTGGAAGCAATTATTTTCAGTGCTGAGAAATATATTTGAACATAACTCAAAACCTGTGACTATTTATTCATATGTTTGATAGCAGCATTTTTGACTATATTTGGGCTTTATCATTTTGTGAAAAATCATTATCTAGTTTGAAATCCAATTGCTAAACATAACAAACCAAATTAGCACTTGATTACTATTGACTGTATACATCATTTTGTGTAAATTCAAAATTCCAATTGAAATTCATCAATATCAGTTTGAAATGCAACAAAACAAATTAGCCATATGTTTTGGGTTGAACATAAATTTCTTTCATGTGGAAGCAATCATTTTCAGTGGTGAGAAATATATTTGAACATAACTCAAAACCTGTGACTATTTCTTCATGTGTTTGATAGCAGCATTTTTGACTATATTTGGGCTTTATCATTTTGTGAAAAATCATTATTTAGTTTGAAATCCAATTGCTAAACATAACAAACCAAATTAGTACTTGATAACTAGTGGTTGTATACATCATTTTGTGAAAATTCAAAATATTAATTGAAAATCATCAATATCAGTTTGAAATGCAACAAAACAAATTAGCCATATGTTTTGGGTTGAACATAAATTTCTTATCATTTTAATCATGTGGAAGCAATCATCTTCAGTGGTGAGAAATATATTTGAACATAACTCAAAACCTGTGACAATTTCTCCATGTGTTTGATAGAAGCATTTTTGACTATATTTGGGCTTTATCATTTTGTGAAAAATCATTATTTAGTTTGAAATCCAATTGCTAAACATAACAAACCAAATTAGTACCTGATTACTTTTGGCTGTATACATCATTTTGTGAAAATTCAAAATATCAATTGAAAATCATCAATATCAGTTTGAAATGCAACAAATCAAATTAGCCATATGTTTTGGGTTGAACATAAATTTCTTATCATTTTAATCATGTGGAAGCAATCATTTTCAGTGGTGAGAAATATATTTGAACATAACTCAAAACCTGTGACAATTTCTCCATATGATTGATAGCAGCATTTTTGACTAAATTTTGGCTTTATCATTTTGTGAAAAATCATTATTTAGTTTGAAATCCAATTGCTAAACATAACAAACCAAATTAGCACTTGATAACTAGTGGTTGTATACATCATTTTGTGAAAATTCAAAATTTCAATTGACAATTATAGATATTTGGTTTGAAACCCCCTTGCTGAATGCAATGAAGCAAATTAGTCATAACTTTTGGGTTGCAATCCTGTGGAAACAATAGTTTTCAATGATAAACAATATTTAGGTATGACTCAGAACCTATGACTGAAAAGATCCCATGATTTTTTGGCTAAATTTCATAAAAAACATTGATTTTGTGTGTGTGCATTGCCCCTCATCTAAACAAATGAGATGGGAATGGTCAAGTAAAGTTTTGCCTGCTTTTTTTTGAAGATTGTCCTGTTCAGCCGCACTGTGATACTGCAATCTACCTACAAATTCTGATTGCTTAGGTCATAGTTAGTTTTAACATTTAACTTAGTCTCTTTCTGAATGTGATTTTGTACAACTGTTGAAAATTGTAAGAGTATAAATTTGAGTTTGTACTTGCCAGCAAGTGTGTGATAACTGTTTAGCATGTAACAACTTAAATCAAGTCACAAGGCAACATTCAAACTGCAATGGCATTCCTAAAAAGGCTCTATAACCTTTAGACATCCCAATGTTTCCATTGGCAGTACTGATTTTTGAATTAAATGTTATAGGGACTTCCCAGGAATAGTTGGAAAAATGAATTAATTCAGTCAATTTATATATTATGAAAACTATCAATAATGTAGAATAATCAATAAGAGGAGTTCATGAATGATGCCTTGTTTAATTTCATCAGAATGATTTATCTTATCCAGTCATCAATCAAGATGAATATTTTTTTGTTAAGTGCAGTACAAAATATATAATCACTATAGTTCTAGGTAAAATAGATATATAAGAAAAACAAAAAAGCTTTAAAAGAGTATGTGATGCCATGTTTATTTTCTATTGTTTGAGAGAAAAAAAATGATTGAAATTGGGCATTGGGATTGCAAACTCATTGAATTTGTTTTCATCCTGCAAAGTCTTGATATTTTGTAGTGATGTGCAATAATCCATATTGGTGATTTGATAGTTTTAACATTATTAGAGATTCAACCATTTTGGTTTTTATTTTTTGTTTTTATTAGAGTTAACTGAAAAATTATGAAGATTATAATTTTTTTTATTGGGGCTATATTAGGATCTCTGATAGCATATGTTTGCATTAGTTTTAGTTTTAGAATTTTGGATCTCATGATGTTTCACTAAATTTTCAGTCATTTTATTCAGCATTTGCAATATTATTGTCATGTAATTCACTTATAATCAAGTATCTACCTATTCATCTTCATCCTCAAATCTGTGATACCTCACCTCCTATTCCTTCTATTTCCTTTTCTTTCCTTTGAATCCCAGTCTGTATCTACTGTAATTTTTTTTTTCTAAAATTGTTCATGGAAATTTTAAAACACTGTTTATAATGTCAACAAACATGGTTCTATATTCCAGGATAGAACCATTTTTGTTTTCCCTATTATCATGACTGGTGAAGATGTTTTCCATAAATACAATTGAATTGATATATTTCAAAATATTTTATATTTAGAATTGCAATTAAATATTTTCATCAGTCACACACAAATTTATCAAATTGATTTTCTCAATTATGTTGGCGTTGGCAATATTTTTTTAAAGCTGCTCAAGTTCTCCTGATATATTTTTTCACAATCTATCAAAACAGTTAAAAAAATTCCAGAATTATAGTATTACAATATGAAATATGTCAAAAGTCTACGAAGCCCTGGAAGAGACACAAAATAAAAAAAAGTAAAACTTCTAAATTCTGAGTTATAACTCGGAGTTTCAAAATTCCGACTTATATCTCGGAATTTTACATTCAAAATTCCGAATTATAACTCAGAATTTTAAAATTCCGAGTTATAACTCAGAATTTTGAAATTCCGAGTTATAACTCGGAATTTCACATCCAATATTCCGAGTTATAACTCAGAATTTTAAAATTCCGAGATATAGGTCGGAAGTTTGATATAAAATTCCGAGTTAGTGTCGGAATTTTACATCCAAAGTTCCGAGTTATAACTAGGAATTTTGAAATTCCCAGCAATAAGTCGGAACTGTGATGTAAAATTCCGAGTTATAACTCGGAATTTTGGATGTAAAATTCCGAATTTTGAAGAGTTGATTTTTTTTTATTTTACGTGTCCCTTCCAGGCCTTTGTAAAAGTCTAATTGAAAATTGAGAATTTAATCTGATTCTTTAGCATTGCAACCCTACCTAAATTTGCTGTTTTGATTGTTTCATCTGGAAACTTTTCAGTCATTTTTTTGATGTTCAATATAATAATTTCTCCCTTCACACTTCCTTTCCCTTTTCCTTTCCGGGGCTAAAACCCCACCAAATATTTCAATATAGAATTCGTTTGTGATGCTTCAAATTTGAGCAAATGAATGGTTGGTAAGGGTGAGTATTCTTCAAGAAATGGCTGGATCAGAATGATCAGATGAAGGTAAGGCTGAATATTTCAATTTTGTTTGATCTTTATTTGAATTCTACTTATTTTTTTTACTTGTTTTATGAATTATGAGCTCAGAAAATAAAAGCAAGTCAATGTAATATGATTTAGTATGAAAAAATTCTTGTCCATGTTTGTATCAGTGATCTGGAAATTCTCGGACAGTTATTTGTTTTACTAGGCAGTCAATCTACATTTCCTGCCATATGAAAAATATATTTTTTTCTGTGACGGGAAAAATGTTTGGCATTTCATCTCTGTTGGCAGGTTATAAAATGTCACTTTTCATAAATTACTTTTTTCCCGTGGGAAAAAAGTGAGTACTTTTTACCCGGATATATATCACATATACAGGGTGTCCCATACACATACCGACAAACTTTAAGGGATGGTAGAGGACATCAAAATAAACATTTTTGTATTGAAAAGGAATATTCTCAGATATATTATAAACATGAAAAAATGGATACATTTGAATAAATACATTGAGAATTCGCATTCTCTATGTGATGAAATTATTAATCCTTTCTCGGCATATTCAACAGAAAACAACTACTTTCCTGGCTATATGCCACGACGAACATTGAATTATATCAATTGAACATACACGATAAGAATTTGAGCATAAAATGAATATCGTCTGAAATTGAGAATTGACATTCTCTTCCAGAATCGGATGAATACTATGATGAATATAACGATATAAAAAAATATATTACTTACCAAATTGGTATGAAAATTGGAATGTATGGGAGAGATATACTAGTATACATACTCTGTTCTTGTTGAGTCGTGAATTTATCAAAAATCATCCGTATCCATGATGTTTGGGATATATGCACATCTCTTTCACATAGGTTAGATGATTTTGATTCGAATAAAATTCATTTCGAGTTTCAAACTCTCCTCAGTAACCTGAAGTCCAGTCATTCCTTCAGCCATTCTTCATTTAATACACAATTTTCACATTTCTATAATAATATAACTAAAACTATAGTGGAACTGACATCTATCTGAGAATGAAAATTTGTTGACTTATCTCCAGTCATGTGGGTGGCATATATCCCAAACATCATGGATACGGATGATTTTTGATAAATTCACGACTCAACAAGAACAGAGTATGTATACTAGTATATCTCTCCCATACATTCCAATTTTCATACCAATTTGGTAAGTAATATATTTTTTTATATCGTTATATTCATCATAGTATTCATCCGATTCTGGAAGAGAATGTCAATTCTCAATTTCAGACGATATTCATTTTATGCTCAAATTCTTATCGTGTATGTTCAATTGATATAATTCAATGTTCGTCGTGGCATATAGCCAGGAAAGTAGTTGTTTTCTGTTGAATATGCCGAGAAAGGATTAATAATTTCATCACATAGAGAATGCGAATTCTCAATGTATTTATTCAAATGTATCCATTTTTTCATGTTTATAATATATCTGAGAATATTCCTTTTCAATACTTTCATACCCAATCAAGGGGTTCAAACTTGAACGATGGAAACTTGTTATTTTTATAGACCTTCAATCGCAGATTCGTGATTGGGTTTTTCTCAATTCAGAATTTCTTTCCACGCCCTGTATGATAAATGTCAGTTTGTCATACATCTAAAACAATAAACATTTTTGCCTCGAAATACAAAACAAAAAGTGATTAAGTCATTAATAATAATTAATGATTAGTAGAAAAAGTTATTGGAAGATTTATTAGTTTTTCAATTTTTAAATAAACGCATTGGTAAAATGTGAGGTATAATTTTGAAGTATTTAATTTTTTTTTCATAGATGTAAGAGATATGGTTTTTTTTCTCTTCAAAACGAAGGTAGATACGGAAAAATGTCAAGGAACAAAAAAGTTGCATTTTCAGTTGTTCATTTGAATAAAATTATCATAATTACAAAAAATCCTACTGGGCGATATTTTTTTGTGCAGAAACTATCCGACATAGCCCGTGGGCACGCCCCTGAAATTATTGGGCAAATTCTAATAGCTCCAAAAGATACCTTATAAATGTATCAATAATCTGTGAAGATTTCATTGAATTCGACTAAATCGTTTTCACGATATTGATGAAAAATCCATTTAAAAAAAAAATTAACACCCTGTATCTCGAAAACGAAGAGTTTCCGGACTTATGTTTATCAAGCAAAAATGTTTATTTTGATGTCCTCTACCAATTCTACCATCCCTTGAAGTTTGTCAGTATGTTTATGGGACACCCTGTATATACACTGTTGATGGCTTTTGTTGTGCTATAGTTTCGAAAAATTAGTCAATCAATAACTTACTCAATAACGACTTCGCGGTTACGTATATTACTGAACAACCACTAAATTCGCAATTTTTTGAAATCAAATCACAGAATTAGACTGACAGAAGTGACATTTGATCACTTCGAAAGAATGATAAAGATACCTACAACGCAGGTGTCGATAATTTTCATATTTCAAAATAATGTAATATCTTCTCAATATTGATTCGTCCTTTCTTCTGTCACAGAAAAAAATAGTGTATTATGCACCGGAAAAATATTAGATTTTAGCTCACGGTTTTTTGTCTCCCTCCGCTACGCGTCAGGATGATCCAAGATTCAGAATTTTGATCACCCTGTATCTGTTCCGATTAAATGTCAGTAGATAGTGAATCAAAAGTTAAGATAGGGACATGTAAGCCGTTTTGATCGATAATGAATAGTTTCGACACAAAAAATTCCTGAAATTGAAAAATCTCGATTTTGAACACCCTATATCTCTGTAATAATTTCTGCTAGACCCCAAGTGTGATACATTGATGAAATCAGCTCTTCGAGAAGAATCTAAAAACGCAATGAAATACAGGGTGTTCCATTTGAAATAACAAAGATGATGATACTTTTTGGTAAAAGTGGCAACGCTGCATCGCTGAAAATATTTTGAATCGTTAGATCACAATCGCTTATTAGAGTAACCAAATTTTCAGGATAATCCAATGTACCGTTTTCCGTATACGTCTAAGGTACCATCGACCGTGGGCCACCCTGTATATTACTGTATAATTTTGTGAGATTTTTTTTTAGTTTTCCAAGTATATGAAATTCATAGGTATTTTTTCACGGAAATGACTGTTGCTATTTTATTTTAGCTATTACTGGATATACAGGGTGTTTCATAATTGAATGCTGATCCTTAAGGGCGAAAATCCTTGGATGATTTCAAAGAGAAACGTTCATATCAACATATGTCCTAAACCTCTTAGTTATTGAGCTACAGGGTGATGAAATTTCAAGAAAAAAATGAGTTTTTCATCATAATTTTTTATCACTCTTAGATATTGTTATGATATTCTGTATACACCTTTTCATTATTGAGGAGCATTTTTTTACGTGAAAGATATTTAAAAATTCTCACCAGTGGCGTCCGTACGGGGTTTGAACTGACAATTTTTGAAGAAAAAAATAGTACGCCACTGATTTTCCTGAGAACCAGATTTTTTTTTCAATTCTTATTCATTTTGGAGCAAATTTGGTTCCTAGACTTACTTTCATACAACGTACCGTTTTCGCGTAGAAAAACAAAAACCAAAGAATTTTGTTCCTTCAGTTCTTGGATATTGTTTTTGGTATCACATTTTGTTTTGGGACGGAAATCAAACTTTTACTTTTACCAGTGATGTCCTCGTAGACCTGATATTGAATGTTTAGTTTAAAAAAACGTTGTACGCTTCTGATCACACCCTGTAGCTCCAAAACTAAGGAGTTCAGGACATATGTTGATATGAACTTCTCTCCTTAAAATCATCCAAGGACCATCGCCCTTTAGGATCGGCATTCAATTATGAAACACCCTGTAGAGTGAGAATTGTTATCAATAGGAAGCAGGTTGTTTGCTACAAATAATACAAACGTCAATCTTTCTACTATTTCCAATAAAACAACGCCTTACGCCTTAGAGAATTTAAAAAATTTAAACTAAATTTTATTACAGATATATGTGATACAATCATTTCAATAATATAAAAATACAACACAATTTAGTTTTAATCAAGTGGTATATTTATTTCTTCAAAATCTCTTCCAAGTTGTATTAGCTGAAAAAGAAAAAAAAATTGAAATTCCCAGTCCAATATGAACAAAAACTTAAGGAAATGGTCAAATGATTCTGAAACAGCAAATGTTAATCAGAAAATGTGAATATAATCTGACAGATTTTTCAACATTGAGAATACAGGGTCGGGTGTCCAATTTTATTGCTGATTTAGGAGCTACCTCATTGAACACCCTCTATAGTTTCATGAAATACAAACCTGTCTCTTTTTAATCCTGTGACAATGAAAAACGTCCAAGGTTTCCAATAATGGTAAGGTTAGGGCAGCTTCTCTGCAGCTTTTTATTGTTACATTAGTGTCTCTGAGTTCCAGATTTTTAAGATTCACCAGCATCCTCAGGGCAGGAATGAAATTATCATCATTCACTTCCTTCCAACCATGAATTGACAAACTGAAGAGAACAGTTCCAAAAGCATTATACAGGGTGGGCCACCAGTAACGCCTCGGTCTCTAGAAGGCTAACCACTTATCTTCTTGGAATTCTTCCTCTCTAGGAAGTTGCATGTCAACATAGGCTACCATTTAAAATTATTTCGAAACATACAGGGTGTCCCCAAAAACCATAAAACACTGAAGTTGAACTTTTTTCTATCGAACACCCTATATATTATTTCATTTTGAGATTCTCCCTGATGAGCTGATTTCAACGACCCATCATACTTGGGGTCTAGCAGTTATAATAATTACTGAAATATAGGGTGTGAAAAATCGTGATTTTCCAAGTTCAAGAATTTTTTGTTTCGAAACTATTCATAATTGGTCAAAACGGCTTACATTACATGTCCCTATCTCAACTTTTGATTAACTATCTACTGATATTTAATTGGGACATATACTGGGTGATCAAGATTCTGAATTCTGCACCACCCTGTATTTGTTTCAATTAAATGTCAGTAGATAGTTGATCAAAAGTTGAGATAGGGACATGTAAGCCGTTATGACCAATTATGAATAGTTTCGACACAAAAAATTCTTGAACTTGGAAAATCTCGATTTTTCACACCCTATATTTCAGTAATTATAACTGCTAGACCCCAAGTATGATGGATTGTTGGAATCAGCTCACCAGGGAGAATCTCAAAATGAAATAATATATAGGGTGTTCGATTGAAAAAGTTCAACTTCAGTGTTTTGTGATTTTTGGGGACATCCTGTATGTTTCAAAATAATTTCAAATGGTAGCCTATGTTGACATGCAACTTCCTAGAGAGGAAGAATTCCAAGAAGGTAAGTATTAAGTGGTTATAGCCTTCTAGAGACCGAGGCGTTACTGGTGGCCCACCCTGTATATCGCGCTCCAGCCAATTTCAGGATATTTTCATTAGAAGTGGGTCACACTGTAGAAGCCGTTTTGACCAATAATGAATAGTTTCAACACAAAAAAATCCTAAAGTTGAAAAATCTCGATTTTGAACACCCTATATCTCTGTAATCATTCCCGCTAGACCCCAAGTGTGATATATTGATGAAATCAGCTCTTCAGGAAGAATCTAAAAATACAATGAAATACAGGGTGTTCCATATGAAAAAATCAAGTAGTACTCTGTAGATCCTTTGTTTCAAGCACCCTGTATTTTCTGATGCAACGGGAAAAAAATTCTGAATAATAATTTCAGATTATTTTTCAAATCTTTAAATCCGTTGAAAAATAAGTGAGCTAGAGGGGGGGGGCATTAATGGTGAATCACCCTGTACACATCATTGGAAGTCACTGGAAGTCATTGGTAGTCACTAAGTCACTTATGGAAGTCTTTTGTTGACACTGGAAGTATTTGGCAGTAACTGGAAGTTTTTCCTAGTAACTGGTAGTAATATTAGAAGTCTCATGAAATTTTGGTAGTCATTGGAAGTCTGGTAGTCATCAGAAACAATTTGAAATCATTGGAAGTCTGGAATAAGACCTGGAAATCTTTGGTAGGTAGTCATTATAAGTATTTGATAGTCATTGGGTTTTTTTTCGAAAATTTTTTTTGGTACTTACGTATTTTTGTCTGAAAAACACGAATTTGGTAATGAAAATGTGAACAAACCATTATTTATCAAGATATTTCACTATAAAGTTACAAATTTCACCATCTTTTCCGCCTGTCTTCTGGATCACATTTAGAACAATTTGCCCTTCTTTTTCCATCATTGGACAATTTATATATATCAAACAATGTTGGACACAATTTTTTTATTATATGAGTCAACTAGAAATATGATTTTCTTGTGATTTATCTGTTTAGTGAAATAAAGGAAGAATATCATTTGAAATAATGGCGTGTCTGTCATTCCAAAGCAATCTATTGACATTTGACATCTCGTATTTGGAATTTGGAATGCATATGGATCATGATTAACGATGATATGGATCAAATGGCCATCATCTGGTATGCTTGCTCACTAAATAGGAAAAACTCGCCATAAAATTCATATTTCCTGTTGAATTTTCTATCTTAAAATGTGTCAGTCAAGTACATCATGAGTATATAAAGTGTCCAATGACAAAAAAATAAGAGCAAGTACCTGTAAATGCATCAAACACAAGGGGGAAAAGAAGGCAAAATTTCTAACTTTTTCTTGAAATATCTCGATAAATAGTGGTTTGTTCACATTTTCATTATCAAATTTGTGTTTTTCAGACAAAAATACATAAGTATCAAAAAAATTTTTCAAAAAAAAACCCATCACATGATAATTGCAAAATTACCGTCATTGGAGTTCACACATTTTTAGAGGAGATACACTCTTAGCATTTCCCAACAAAAACTAATCTTCAAGGACAAGGAATGTGATACTAACGTTTCTAGATGGAGACAACCAGCAGCCAGAAGTTCCAGAGAATCATCAGGGTCACAATCAAAACCAGGGCCAGAAACTAGCTTCAATTTTTGCAGATGAGCTAGCCTGGCTAAAGTCCTTAGGCTTTTCGACTTTACTCTCTTCCTCTCACTGAAGTGAATTTCTTTCATGTGGGCATTGTGCAAGGACATGATTTCACAGATTTCATTAGCATTCACATTGACATTATTTGCTGGAATGAATTTTTCTAATTCCAGGAAAATTACAAGACAAGGTAAATCTCATCATACTCACATAAATATAGATAGTTGAGATCCTTATTTGTTTTAATCAGTTCACTGACAATTTTTTGTGGAAAATGGCAAGAAGTGAAGCTTATGTTACTCAAAGAAGCTAGAGATAGTAATGAAGTGAAAGAACTTTTGCATCTATAGAGGATCAGACCTAAAAACTTGAATATTAATACAAGGATTCCTACTGAACAATTTTGTTTAGTTACTTTGCAGATTGAAACATTCCCCTATGAGCAGTAGAATTTGTTCAACATGGCAATTTTCTATTTTGAGAGATGTTATGTATTCCCCACACTTCCTAAGTAATCTATTAAAATCACATGATACAAAACAAGAATAGGTATAATAAGTTCAAATAAATGACAATGTTAGGTACCTCTCAACAAAGATATTGAAAGTTGTACAGTGGTCTTCTTTTTCAGCTTGATGGTCATACTGATCATGATGTTTATATTCAATGATTACTTCTGATGGATGGGCAACTTTTGAAACTAGTGATTCTAAAAAATTAGGGGTCATGCTGTACTAAAAATCAATTCAAGATTACCACTGGGAAGCATTAGGGAGAATAACTCACCTTCAAGACTACTTTTTTGTATAAGGAGCTGTCCTTTGACAAATTATAAAAGGTAGAACATACTTTGGAACAATTGGCCATGGACTCTAAATCCAAGTATTCCAATATTTTCAATAGTATATGTTTCTGGAAGGAAAACAGACAATGATTCAAATGGACTAGAATTCTACAAGTACTAGTCAGATTCAAGTATTTGTTGGAGTACCGGTAAACTTCCTAGGCCTTTTTCCATACAGCTTTTGGACTTCTTTTTCGGAGGTCCTTCTCCATTCGTAGTTTCCTCCAGATCCATTCTATCATTCAACTCATCATACCTGAAATAACATTCACTCTGTTAATGAATATTTTCCTCAATATTTTCGTCATTGGTAATGAATCATTAGTTTTGGAGTGCTAAATATTTTGAACATGTTTACATAACCTCAACCTGTCATCAACATAACCTCAAACATAACCATACATGACATTATTCTTTTTTTTATTGGACCTTGTCTCTCTGAAACAGCTGGCACAGGCCGTGGCAAGAAGAACTAGGGAAGAGGAAGCATCGTGTCGCGATTGTTTTTGAATAGTTAATTGAAAAATTCGTTTTTTTAATGAATCAATAGTTTTTTTGAAAAGCACAGTGAAAAAACGAAGTGAACTTATTATATTCGCGTTAGCTGATAGGAACAATAACTACAGAAAGAACATGACTGATAAGTCGGGAATGCCGGGAATGTGAGTTTGGTGAGGATCCAGTTCAATGTTCAATGAGGCCATTGCGAAGGTTTTAGTGTATACACTATTAATTTTATTTCATCTAACTGAATAATTTTATTACATTTTAATATCTATGGGGGCAGTTTTTAAACCTATCGAGTTTCTTAAGCGTTTTCGATCAAATTTTCGCCTGAAATGCAAGTGACATTATTTTTACACTCACAAGACGATATACAATTATTATTATTGTAACAGGTAGTATTAATCATCTGCCTAATGTGAAACAACAGACTAGACTATGTAGCTCTAACATCCAACAGGTAAATGAAAATCTAATGAACAGAACGTTATAGGTGGGTATTTTCAAATCATCCACCGTTCCCCCTGATGAGGACTATCACGATTATCTATGTGGCGGGTATCGCAAAATTTGTCTTATATCCCAAATATATCGATCTTGCCATTGTTTTCAGAGTTCCTAAGGTATGAAATTAAAATTGGTAATTTTGCACTTATCATGCGATGGGTTTTTTTCCGAGTTTTTTTTTGGACTTAGGTATTTTTGTCTGAAAAACACGAATTTGATAATGAAAATGTGAACAAACCATTATTTATCAAGATATTTCACTATAAAGTTACAAATTTCACCTTCTTTTCTGCCTGTCTTTGGATGGCATTTAGAACAATTTGCCCTTCGATCTTTTTCCATCATTGGACTTTTTATTTATATCACACAATGTTGGACACATTTTTTTTTTATTATATGAGTCAACTAAATATGATTTTCTTGTGAATTTATCCATGTTTAGTGAAAAGAAGGATGGATGGATGGATGGATGGATGGATTAAATGGCCGTCATCTGGTATGCTTGCTCACCAAATAGGAAAAACTCGCCATAAAAATCATATTTCCTGTTGAATTTTCTAGCTTAAAATGTGTCATTGAAGTAGGTACATCATGAGTATATAAAGTGCCATGTCCAATGACAAAATAAAAAGAGCAAGTACCTGTAAATGCATCCAACACAAGGGGGAAAATAAGGCAAAATTTCGAACTTTTTCTTGAAATATATCGATAAATAGTGGTTTGTTCACATTTTCATTATCAAATTCGTGTTTTTCAGACAAAAATACGTAAGAACGAAAAAAAAATTTCGAAAAAAAACCCATCGCATGATGAGTGCAAAATTACCTTAAAATTCGACAGAGGTGTAGGATTCAGCAGGAATGGTAAAATTTTACAATTTTTCATACCATTCCATAACTTCCGGTTTCACCGGAAACGGCCCCAACTTCTAATTTCAAATGGGGCACCCTGTTTTTTATTCCACAATCGGTTAATTTAGGGATTATATTATAACGTATTTAACGATACCGGTTTGATTGGGTTATTTGAAACGATCACGAAGATTTGCGTGATGTAAGAGTATGAAATATTTAAATTTGAATCTTATACCTTCGGAACTCTGAAAACCATGGCTTGTCTAATGAATTGTTGACACTCGGTATTCCCTCAAAATGGCGAATTAGAAGGCTTGAAAGTGAGATCTATAGATTTATTTGCAACACCCGTTGAAACTGAAAATAATATGAGACACCTAACAAAAAATTAAAGGGAAATATTCTACACCTATACACTTCAATAGCCTATTTTTACATTATTTACTTAGTTCTATAAGTACTTACAAACCACAAGAGTGCGAATTCTATGATGTTTTTCAAATTTCAAATTTTGACGATCTCAAATATACCACCAAAGGACCTTTTAAATTCTGCTCGAAATAACCTTTTCAAGAATATGTTCATGTAAATTTGATCAATAGGTGTATAAAGTACAGGGTGATTCACCATAAATGTCCGCCCCTCTAGCTCAGTTATTTTCGAACCGATTCCAAATTTAGAAGAATCATTTGAATTTTTTTTCCGCTACATCATACGATCATCAGGGTACTAGTTGATTATTTTGAATGAAACACTCTCTATTTCATCGCATTATTAGATTCTCCCTGAAGATCTGATTTTATCAATACATCGCACTTGGGCTCGAGCGGAAATGATTACAGAGATATAGGGTGTTCAATATCGAGATATTTCAAAGTTAGAATTTTTTTGTGTCGAAACTATTCATTATTGGTCAAAACGGCTTATATAATAAATAATATATGATCCAAACTCAACTTTTGATTTACTATCTATACTGACATTTAATAATTGGAACAGACACAGGGTGATCAGAATTCTTAATCTTGAACCGCACCCTCGTAAATCAAAAGTTAAGATAAGGACATGTGAGTCGTTTTGACCAATGATGAATAGGTAGTTTGGACACAAAAAAATCCTAAAGTATAAAAATCTCGATTTCTAACACGCTATATATCTCTGTAATCAGCTCTTCAGGGGAAATCAGAAAATGCAATGAGATACATGCTGTTCTATTTGGAAAAATCAACTAGTACCCTGTAGATCGTTTGTTACGAGCACCCTCTATTTTCTGATTTAGCGGATTTTTTTTTCCAAAAAATCATTTCAGATGATTCAAAAAAATTTATCGGTTCAAAAATGAGTGAGCTAGAGGAAAATTTATGGTGAATTACCCTGTACCTATACTTGAAACATTTTTCAAATGTTAGTATAGGTATCTATACTCTGTAACTGATATACCCAAAGACTTTTCATTGAAATGTTATGATTTGGGAAATCAACAATAATTATGAGAGAGGATGTTACATTCTTAGTAAAATTAATAAACCAAAAATATCGGTTTCCGATATGATCACAATAAATCATATAATTAAACTCAACACTCGAAAAGTAAAATTGAAATTTGTCGATCAATTTTGATTCATCATATAACTTTCAACTCTCTCAATTTCTTCTCTTTTTTCTGAATGTTCATTTAATTGACTATCAAACCTATGGAACTGATTATTTCATCTCTTCAGATAGAGATTCTACAGGATGATAATCAAAACCGAGATGAAAACTGTGCAATTCTTCAATAATTTCAAAGGCCTCCCTTTTGGAAAGTGAATTGTCTAACTTTTTTCGAGGTGGAAAACATCGCACCATCTGTTTATCGAAACGGTTTCGGATTTTTTTAAATTGTCACTCATTACTAAGAAAATGCATGATTTGACACGTGTGACAATAAATTCCAAAGAAATTCCAAAACCGTTTCGATATGTCTTTCACCTCAGAAAAAAATATTGTTGCTGAATAAATTTTTGAAAAATTGCACGGCTTCGATTATCATCCTGTAGGATCTTATTCTGAAGAGATGCAATAATCATTTCCATAGATTCGGTAGTCGATGAAACGAATATTCAGAAACTGGAGAAAATAAAATAAAAATCAGTTGAGGCAGTCGAAAATTATGTTGAATCGAAACTGTTGGAACATTTTCGATTTTACGTTTCGAGTGTTGAGCAGTTTAATATAACAGGGTGTCCCTAAAAGATCTGTACAAAATCTTAGAACACATTTCTGAGGTCAATATAAGCCGATTTGAAGCAACTCACCTACGTCCGAAATTGATCCGTTTCCGAGATACAGGGTGGTGAAATTAATAAAGTAAAATCGACACGTACACTCCGAGAAAGTATTTTGAAAAATCCATTTCTGCACTGCTAATTCACTGACCCAATTATATCTAAGAAGATAACTGCAAACAGTTTTTATTAAAAATAATTCAAATATACCGGTGATACAAGCGTATCTTTTTTGCCTAAAAATGTTCAGAACATTATTTCTTCAACAAAGAAAATAGAGAACTACACTGAGAAAAAAGTTGTGGCCATTTAAAACCATAAGAAGTGCATTGAAAACCGCCTTTGTAATGGCCACAGTGATAATGTGCCCATATTCGTGGTTCCTATCCCGAAAAACCCCCAAATATCAATTTTTCAAGTGATACGTTCTCTAAAACATCCGTAAATAGTGAGAAATTCGATTTTTATCCTATAACTTTACCACCCTGTATCTCGGAAACGGCGAAATTTCGGACTGAGGTGAGTTACTTTGAATCGGCTCATTTTGATCTCAGGAATGTGTGCTGAGATTTTGTGCAGACCTTTCAGGGACACCCTGTATAGATTTAATTTGCTAGTATTTTTCTAGTATGCGTGAGTTGATAACCCTCTCAACTTTTCAACTGTTCCAGAAAAACACCATGATATAACGTCAGCCTACGACAATAAGCACTTCTACAATAACAAAGTTAGATTCTAACAATTCTAGATCTGTGATCCCTGTACTTCTGCCTTATAGTCAGGACAGTGGTGGACCAAGAATACAAATTTGAGGAAGAATATAGGTTCCCTTGATGCAAACTGACGTATTTGTCATCTAACAGGGTACGGACAGATCATAACTCCTTTCTCTTTTGGACTTTTGGAAAGTGAAATTTGGTTTCGTGTATTGGCGTCCCTGACATGGCATTGCTGTCACGTCACATTCATAGGCGTTAAAAGAGATCTTTCAAAATTTTAATTTCATACTTTATCTTAATACGACATTATTCAATTCTGTTTTGGAAGGATGGTAACATATGCTGCTTTAGGCTGTATCGATCAGTTGGATGGCAAATTCGAATTTGTCAGTATTCCATCAAATGCAAATGAACTTAGAACATGGAAAGTGAAGTGACCGAATGGGGAAAACTGGTAAATACATCAGCAAAATATTCGAGGTAAAACTAATACGGAATCACATAT